CAGATAATCTGCCAAATTTCATTAACATACGCTTACTAATTTAAAAGTTATAGCATAAAATCTATAACATGCTGATAGATTTACATACGATAGAATGCTTCATAATAAAGACATAAACTTGAAGCTGCTGTACATCTCAGTGTTATATCTGTGCTTTGTTTATGTCTAGTCTTTATGCATTCAAAGTCCACAGACAACTGCATAGTTTTTACAATCACCGGAACTTGGAAATTTAATTTTTAAGGGGATATTTTTAAAGCTGCAGAAAATATCTTTTAACCCATGATTTAATGCTCCAGGGAACTGATTTCAAAATGTGCTAATTTACAGAAGTTCCAAATACAGAAATCTGAAGATTTACAGAAAACTTTTATGTCTGAAGTAAAGAAACTCTTTCTAAATAGTCAGTCTTTTTTATAATAAAAGATGCAGAAATTGGGATATGAATAACTTAAATAAATTATTCTGTTACAAAAAACCTTAATATACTGTTAAATAGGTAGTAAGCCTGGTAAACAACTCACTCTGACAACAATTTGTCTTTTTGAGGTGAAGTCCTCCCCATCTTCACTGATTGTACTAACATCCAATAAGGATCCTCTAACACTGTCTCTATCCCCACTTCCTTCTGATGAACCAGCATCTCCTATTCTTTCTGGTATATTACCTGCTATTCTACCAAGCTGTACATGAAGTCGTCCAGCAACCTACAATCAACATTGGTTTCCATTAGACTGATAAAACATACATATACCAGAGTTCCAAAGATAAAAATGAAATCAAATAGTTTAATTAATTTCTACCTCTAATTTAAAAACAAGAAAAGAAAGTTAATCTCTGTACCAATCACAAAGTCTTATAATACTTACACCAATAGTAACTTAGTCAGGTAGTGATACATTAAAACGAAGGTCTATTATTGATGCCTATGCCAACTCACTTTATGAAGTGCAGAAAATATATGAATTTGTGCAAACTACACCATTTTTCACAACTGAAAGACAAGATGGTTTTAAATTTGATGTATTTAGTTTCCTTTTTTTGTTTTTAAATATTCTACATTATTACCAGTTGGTGGTGTGTCCTTTTTTTGTGGGATAGATAATACCTGAGAATAAGAAGTGTCATAAAAATAAAAAAATAAACGCAAAAAATTTGTATTAATGTGTATAATCTTGTAACTATAAGATTAGAATATAAATATGATAAAAATGTGCTTTTTAAATATTCTTACAAGAACATCTCATGGTTGAGTTTGCAAAGGTAGCTCAACAAAGCATGACTAACCCCTTACAAAATGTTTATATGATACAATTTGCATGTTGTTTCTATCATATTGAGGCACAATGGCTACTTGTCAGTAAATGTGTATACAACAACAGGTTAATTATTTGAATATGGGAAACTACAATATATTGAGTATATCTATAAAGATTTGCAAAACTTTACTTCATAAGCTTAAAAAAAGGCAATCAATATTGATACTTGAAACCATTGGTAGTTGGTGAAACTCTGTAATTACAGAATTGAGGAAAAATAAGACAATTGTACATTTCACAAATGCATCATCTATTCATGACTTGATGATGCCTTTACTGGCTAAATGATGGTCATGAATAAATGATGTATTTGTAAAATGTACAATTGTCTTGATCTGATCAGTGATTTGACAAATGTTTCAACAGTTATTAGTTTCAATGACAAATTATGTAACTTTTATTCAAAATAACAAAATGAGAGAACATGCAGAAAATTTACTATGAAATCTGAGGTATAAATATGACAAATGCAGTATTTTTTTGAAATTATAAAATTACATGGATTCATCTTTATCACTATGATGCAAAAAATATCAAAAATACAGGTTCATAAAACTTTTTGAAAAATATTTTAATAGTTTTCTTGTTTATTTGTGACAGAGCTAAGCTACTAAGGCTATATATGTCACCATCCCTAATTTTGAACTTTCAACTCAGAGGGAAGACAACCAGCCAGAAGCACCCACCACTAACACTTAGGCTACTCTTTACCAATAGTAGTAATGACCATCACATTATAACACTCCTATAGTTGAAATGACAACCATGTTTCATACCAGGTTTAGATCCTGTGACCCACAGATTCAAGCAGAGTGCCCTAACAACTAGGCCATGTAAGACCTCAAGACTTGAAAGTTTTACAAGCAGAACAATATAGTAAAATCCCAAAAAACTTAAAGAGCTCTTGTTATTTATCATTAGATGGAAATTGTAATCTATTTTGTAAATGTGTATACTTCTCATCATGAAAATGTTTTTAAGCATCCAGAATTTATTCTTTTATGACTGAATACTTGGGAGTTACCAATTAATAATTAGACTGTAAAAAAATGTCAGAAACAATACGAATTGTAAAAGATAATAAGGAATATTTTTAAAAAATTGCAAAGTATTTTCTTATCTAATGGTGACCAATAATGATGTTCAAAGTAGTGAATCAAAAATTATCCAAATAAATGGTTATACAAGATTACATTTTTTAAATTATAATAAATAATTAAAAACAGTGTTTCATATTTTTATTGAAGCACTTTAATATATCACTCTACAAGTACATGTTTCGACGTGATCTACATCATCCTCAGGAGTAACTTACAAGACTATGTTATACTTTATAATGTATCTCGCCATATATCAACATATTGACTTGCTGGTCCTTCATCTCTATTTAATACTTCTTTTTATTTTTTATATTTCATTATTTCTAATGTTTCTGTAACATTTAATGATATAAAACTTCGATGTTGAGCTAAAACTAACGTTTTCCCATAATAGTGTATGTTGGGTAGTTTTTACATGTTCGACTATAG